AACATAATATGGATTTATTAATGTTTTATTAGCTGTGCATGATGTTTTGTCATTCTAGTATATATACGCGTGTACTATGGACAGCAATAATAAATTATTATTGAAGTATTTTTATATATATGTGCATGTAATTTTCTTAAATTAATTTTCTTAATAAAAAAAATATTTCACAAATAAAATATTTTATAATAGTGTAATTACTTAAATATTTAATATTTTATATATTAGAATTAGAAATTTGCAAATTGTCATACGAAAAATTGCGATATCTTTGGCATTATTGGTTTTAGCGTATAAAAAATGTTAACATCTTTTATATTTCGTTGAATTTAACGCAGAACTGTAATAAAAAATACGGAAATGTGAAATATCTATTTTTCTCGGAGTACTTAGATATATATATTTATATGATATAAATGAAACTGTGATTTCCGAAACACAAGTTTATTAATTCTATTATAATTATTATATTTTTCTATAGTTTTAACCGTGTTATTTAAATTTGAAAGGATCGAGGAATTATGTAGGAAATGTGAGAAGAGAACAAACAATATCTCTATCTTGGAAATGATATAAATGTTAAATAATTTATAAATTACTTACGCATATTGTCTATCGATTATCCAAATCTTCTTGTTTTCTCTAGCTCCTTCTTTGTTGTTTCCTGCTGGCACTCACACACTCGCAAAAACACGGTTTAATTAAAATTATAGTAATATATGCAACAACCGCGAGATATTTTGCACGACACTTCCGATCGCGGAACAATTACGCGCGATATGTACTTTATTATTGTCGCAATACAGTTTTATATGTCATTCGTCAAAAGTTAATTAATGGTCAATTGTAATAATTAAAATAATAGCAATTTATGTGTCGGTACTAATCGTGATCCTATTTAGGAAAAGAATTCGATAATATCCAAAAAATCTTTTTTTTTTTTTTGGCGATGAGTGGCTTAGACCGTTCAGTCGCGGGCTGACAAGTATCAGGTCCAAGGTTCGATTCCGCTCGGGTCCCATCCCACGATATACCTCGTTGTGTAGGATAAGGAGGAGTGGCAAAAGGGGAAGGAGAAGGAGAAAGGGGAATAGAGAGGGGTGGCAACGAGGGTGAGGAGTGAGAAAAGGAGAAGGAAAAGGAGGGATAAAGATAGGGATAAGATAGGTGAGTGTGTGAGAGAGAAAGCGTTAGAAATAAGAGCGAGGGAAGAAAGAGAGGGGTTAGGATCGAGAGGAGAAAGCGAGAGAGAGGGTAAAAGGGGAGAGCGATGTGTAAAAAGCGTTAGTGGTAAGAAAAAGCGTATAGATGTAAGGAAGATTGATTGTATTGGAAAATTGTAAGTTTGGAAGTGTATAAGATTGCAACCCCATTGGGGAGTCAATAAAGACCATACCATATATTCTTTTTTAAGTTGTCATAATTTTTTTTCTATATGTTCTTTTTCAAACAAAAATCGACAATTTCGCAATAGAGGTAATCGATACAGAATATGTATCTCTAGAACTGTATACCAAGCTCTTTTCGTCACAGTTTATATAAATGTGATTTATTCAAAATACGAAGTATACGTAAATTGTCATTTATAGTTTCAGCATGTATATTAAATTGTTATATACTTGTTTGTTCTAATATTGAAAGATCTATAAATAAATTTTATTTCTCGCGAATTTATTTTTTTAAATTATCATGCTTACAAATGCCTTTTTCTTTTTATATTCTTTTTTGTAGTGCAATTAAGTATATATTTCTATGCCGTATATATTATGACATCATAAAATACACACAAAATCGTGCGTGCGATTAACAAGATACATCGTAAAGTTTCCTTAAAAAATCTTGTTAGAAATTACTTAGATTCAAACGAAAACATGTATAAGTAATGTGTAAAATAATTTCCTCTAATAACGCTTCGTCGTGATAATTCGACGTATGTTTATCAATATGTTATTATTAAGATTTGTCACACATTTATAATCGTAAGTCGTGTATACACGAAAGAAACAAGGGCTAACAAAGTAGCGCTGTTGCGAAATTATACTTATTGAAATGGTCCTTCCTTAATCAATATAGTGAGAAGAAATGTATACTTTTCTTTTTCAATTTTTCAACAATAATAATATATATCGAAAATAATAATTTGGAATATAAAAGACAAAATATATGTCTGTCGAGAACTGTTGAACTATGTATTTTATCCACTTGTTGTTAGTAAGTTCTAATAACACACTCGATTACGTATAACCTTAAGAAAGTATTTACATGACATTATGTATATATTTAAAAAAAAATTATAACTCCAAATTTTCTCTGTAATGTTTGTTTAAAATGACTCGAAAAATGAGAGGTGTTTTTTTTTTAAAGCATGTGACCCCAAAGCATCTCTTTCTTCCATTTAAATTTAGTTTTATCGAAAATAAGGTTATTTGAAAAGAAATATATAGAAAAGGATCCATCAAAAGTAGAAAAAAATTTGAAACGTACTTATTTTATACAAAATGTAAGAAATTGAGGCAAAAAATTATTCTGTATAAAAATGAAAGAAAAGTACAAAATATATTTTTTCTTTTGCATAAAATATATAGTTTTCTGGTCGAATTTTTTAAATGCATTTCAAAAATAATAATTTGGAATATAAAAGACAAAATATATATTTGTCGAGAACTGTTGAACTATGTATTTTATCGACTTGTTGTTAGTAAGTTCTAATAACACACTCGATTACGTATAACCTTAAGAAAGTATTTACATGACATTATGTAATTGATACGTTATATTATACTGAAAACCTTAGTTTCGATGGTCCTTTGAAGCGAAAATATCACGATTGAACGTATAAACATTTGCCTAAAAGCAACGGCTCGTGGCAGATTCAACAAACTGGATAAATCAAATACAGGATATTAAGGTATTCCTTTTTATAAATATGTATATAGAAATATATAAAGAATACGGGATTATACAGTATTCTTTTTTTCCAATAAATATTCTGTGATCAGTTTTCAAGAAAAATTAACACTACTTTCTATTTCAACTTTCATTTTTATTTCTTGCATATTACAATAAACATTAAGACACTCAAGCGTGAATTATAACAGCTTTTTTCAATCATTATAACGAATTAAAAATCAGAAACAAATTGCTTATGCTCTATTTGATACATTTTTTTTCTAATGGATATATTGAGTCATTGTTTCCGAACGTTATGTTAAATAAAAAGATAAATTTATAATAAATGTGAAAATAAATGTTAATTTATCTTATTAAAAAAAACCTTAAATAATAAAATAATGTTTATATCGTGATAAATAATAATGAAAAATTTCTTTACGTTTTCTATTCACGTTTAGTTCAATTTGTCCATTAAACATATATTCAAATAAGTATAATTTTGCAACAGCGCTACTTTGTTAGCCTTTGTTTCTTTCGTGTATACACGACTTACGATTATAAATGACAAACCTTAATAATAACATATTGATAAACATACGTCGAATTATCGCAACAAAGCGTTATTAGAAGAAATTATTTTACGCATTACTTACATATGTTTGCGTTTGAATCTAAGTAATTTCTAACAAGATTTTTTAAGAAAATTTTATGTATCCTGTTAATTGCGCGCACGATTTTGTGTGCATTTTATGATGCCATAATATATACGACGTAGAAATATATATTACAAAAAAGAATATAAAAAGAAAAAGGCATTCGTAACCTTGATAATTTTGAAAAATAAGTTCGCGAGAAATAAAATTTATTTACAGATCTTTCAATATTAGAACAAACAAGTATATAACAATTTAATATACATGCTGAAACTATAAATGACAATTTATATATACTTCGTATTTTGAAAGAATCACATTTCTAATTTATGTTTAAAAGTATATAAAATTGCAGTGCATATATAAACTTCTCTTAAAAATTATTAAAACAATTTAAATATATTATATATTTTTTAAATTTGTTTTTTAAATTGTCGTAATTTTTTTTCTATATGTTCTTTTTCATACAAAAATCGACAGTTCCGCGTTTTCTTTGTATTTATTTATTCTCTATTTTTGTTTCCTGCACCATATTTTCTTATCAAAGAAATGTTTTTGCAGATATCAAAAATTAGAATGAACAACTTCCTAAAATTTTTATTAAATGGTTTCTTTTATATTTCAATTGCAATGGCTTTTCCAATGGCAGAACAAGAAAATGCGGAAATGTGTCATAATATATCTGATTATTATTTTTCGGATAAGATAATGCCACTTCACTATGATATACACATATCATTTGTAGCAAGCCATTTGGGCGGCGAGTCCAAAGTTACATTTTATCTTAATCGTCCGACCTCGCACATCATTTTAAACATGGGAATGAATATAGATATTATTGAAATCAAATTGATATCTGTTAAAAGTAAACTGATTCATAGAGTCCATGATTCAACACGTATTATATGTAGAAACCATAATATTAAAGAGAAAATATTGATTATTAAACCTCGTAATCAATTAATGTCAGAAAAATATTTAGAATGTGGAGTTTATATTTTGTATTTTGGATTCTTATATCTAATGAGTCACGATGCAAGAGATTTTTTGCAAACTTGGTACACAGAGGAAAAAAAAGATAATGGGTAAGTTAAAATTAAAATATTAAAAATAAGATGTTATATATATA